TTTGAATAAAAATTAATGGCAAAAAGGGAGATTGTATTGTACAAGTACACATTTTTAATCAAAAAGATTTGATTTTCATAGTTTACTAATCTGTAGAAATATAATGTCATATCAAAGAGAAAAATATTATAGATTAATTAACACCTTAAAATGTCTAGTTAACACCTTAAAATGTCTAGTTAACACCTTAAAATGTCTAGTTAACACCTTTCCTTGAAAATAAGTTTTGAAATGGAAATTAGAAGAACCATGCAATGACTAAACACCAAGTTCATTTCTATTCTATAATATGAAAAAATTAAATATTTTAGTGAAATATATACACAACATTGAGATTTTAATGGATAATATGGTAAGAGAAAAAAAAAAGTTACGAAGTAATGTGTCTACTATATTCAAGAAAACATTGTGTGTGTGTGTGTGTGTGTGTGTGTGTATATATAAAAATGCTCTACCGTTTTATATGGCATGGAGCACTTTTCTTTCTGATGTACAATGTTACGTTAACCCCATATTTGTACCCTCACCTCAGATTTTATAAGTATATTTTCAGTACCTTTTGTATTTGCGACGAAACATATGAATCTTAACTTCTTTATTTCTTGAATGTGCAGATTGTGAGATATATATTGTTATAACCAGATGAATCAGGGCCAGTTCTCGGAAAAGAACCTTCCCTTCTACCCCCATCTCCTACCTGGTCCCTGACGCGTAGGCCAAACAAACGCTGTTTGACAGGTGTGAATGATGTTAGCCAGTTCCATAGTCGCTGGCCAAAAACGAACGCTGTTTGACAGATAAGTATGGATGATATTAACAGGGTCCATGAATGATGCATACCTTTTTTTGGGAGGCCAACACGTGACTCAAAATATAGCATATATGCTAGGCCACAAAAATCCCGAGCCGACCAAGCGTAGAAATGAATATAATATGGGAACCAGTAATAAAGGAGTGCCAGAGAAATGCAATAATAACAACGAAAATTATGAGCATATAGTTTTCGTTTCGCACGTGTTGAGGTAACAACAACCACACATAGTTGCTGGCTATCGGAGGAGTCGGACATCACCAAAAACCAGTCTTAGCTATTTGACATTAGAAGAAGCAGTTGTCACCAGAACCAGAAGAATTAGATGCCATCAAAAACCAAAGGACCGACGCGAGAAACTAGATCAACATCGTCAACCCAAGTTAGCTATATTCCCGTGATTTTTCTGTGTGTTTTCCTCGCCATCAACACGGATTGGACGTCGCCAGTCAAAAATTAATGTTAGAACATTGTCAATCCCACCCGTTACTTTCAAAGAAGTGTGTAAATATCCTTTGAACAAACTGTACCCCGATAATAGTCAATCGACGTCGATTCCAACCTTATGTAAGTTTCTGCATGTTTTTCCATATCTTATAATCTGCTATCTCCGTATTCATATGTATTTCGCCGCATTAATATTTGTTTAATTAGTAACTTATCTCCCCATCCCTTGTATTATTTAGTTTTCTTTTTCTTACATTCACACTCCGTGTATTCTAGAAATAAAATCTTTGTATTATATATTCTCGTGTTGTCTTCTGTTGTTCTGTGTCATGAATTGTTCATTTTTCTCTCTGCGTTTACAGACATCCGAATCGAGAATTCCCCAACCAACGTTTTTTTCCTTTATTTTTATATCGAACCTTGGGATCTCTTACTTATTTTTTTTTTATTTTCTTGTTGCATCCCGGCTATCGTAGTCTCAACGAAACCCCGGGCATAACAACAGTTACAGAGAATCATTTTAAAAGTTGTTTATATCCATCAATATTAGAAAGCTCTACCATGAGTAAATTTAGGGGCCCCAGTCCTGTTGGGCACTTTTTTCCTGTTTGAAAGTACTAGGCTCCTTGACCATAGCTTCATCTGGCATTGAGAATTTTTTTTTACCATATTGCCAAACTATTTGTTTTTTGTGGTGGTGGTGGTGACTGTATGTTCATGGCTCTTTTGATATCAGCCAAATGGGTGCTTTCTCCCCTCCAGGCAGGTTTGTTTGATGTGTGTGCGCATAAAATGCAAACACCAGCCATATTTTTTTTCCATCCTAGACTTGTCTAGAGGGAGACAAAATCCTCATTTTTGCACTACACCTCACAACTGTTTGTTGATTTTGTGAAAGCATGAAACTAACAGTAGTGGTTGGTCACTGTACACCAGAAATTTAATTCATAACTTTCATATTTATATATATATATATATATATATATATATATATATATATATATATATATATATATATATAGTGCACAAGTGCAGGAAATAAAAGCATATAATAAAAAAAAATAAATAAATAAACATATCTAAATAAAGTATCACACATTGAATGCTGGTGTTACTAAAACAGTGCTCAATATCAGAGCTAAAATTTATACCAATAATAAATATACAAATATTTATTAGATGTGTATATTTGTATTTAAATCATAGTTATATATGGAAGTATTTAAGTGCATACAGTCTCTAAATAAATAGACTGCTCCACTATCATAACATTATATTATAAATATCTATATTTAAATTTTACAATGGTCACCTTTCAATCAGCACATGATGACTGCATTGTATATAAATCGCAGGGTCATATTACCAGTGAGTAACAAATTGTATATTTGTTATTAGTATTATATATATTTTGCACATATAATGCAGGTGTTAATAAAACAGTGCTTGATGTAATACAACAGAGCTATTAAGTTTATATTAATAAATATACATATTATCCCTCAACAATAGAATGACTCAGAATTTTATGCACAACACAATCTTCAGGTATGAATAGATATAAATGTATGGATGCATTATATATATTAGATAGATAGATAGACAGACAGACAGACATCTGCTAATACAACGCTCTTCATTAAATGAATCAAGCAGTATGGCTGTCTGGCATTTGTTTACATTTATAAAAATTATATGCTAGAATTTCACTTTCCCTCTGCTACGCGCTGATAGCTCATGAATAGAAACTCCAACAGATGCCAAATTGGCCGGGTTTCAATCCCAGCTTGAAGCAATCGGATGTCTAGCTGCACTGATAAGCTGTGAAACATATATATATATATATATATATATATATATATAAACTCTCAAGAGGATAGAATAGAATCCAGGTAGAACTCAATGTCCAGGACAGAGTAAGAATATAATATAAAAGGTTCAAACACTAATATTCCATGGTTATAATTTATTACATTGAATCGAATCACGATCAATTCATCAGACTCTAAATTCAAAAGAAATCGTAAAATATAACTCCAGGTATATCTTCCGATTTCTTTTTGAATTTGTAGATCTGATGAATTGGATTGTGATTAAGATTCCAATGTAATAAATTATAACCATGGAATATTAGTCTTTGAGCTTTTTATATTATATATATATATATATATATATTTGTATGTATTATGTTGAAAAATGTGTGTGTGTTTGCGTAAATTGCATTTAAATTATATTTATGGGATATACAGGAGAGTTTGTGTATAGATATTTATATGTATGAACACATTTTTGCATGTGTTGTATATTTACATGCATTTGTTGTGGCAACATACATGTACATATTTTTGTTTGTAATTGGGTGTATGTAAGTATTTTTTTAATCTATTTGTTTTTTGTATTTAATTGATTTTATAAATGTCTCCAAATAAGTTAGACTAAAAAGAACTGACAAAGTATTATACTCAAAATTGTCATTTTAACTGCCTGTCAAATTAGTTGTGTTTCTATAAACAGTCTAAAGTTCATATTATGTTATTGTTTTGTTCAAGTAATTTTCACCATCTAAGTCATTATCAAAAACCAATGAAGTGTCTGCGTGCTTAGTTAGAATTCCTTCGTTTACATCCTGGTATTCTTTGGGAAGCTTGATGTTTGAAATGGTCTAACATGATGCCATGTATAATAGCTATTGGGAACAACATTTAATTGTTTTGTTTATTTAATTTTTTAATACTAATAGGTGTGCAGACATTAATTATATCATATGTACTTCAAGATACTGTCTCCTTTGGTGAATGATATTTTATTTAATGTGGGCTGTTTATTTTGTATAATAATAGCTAAGGTTTTGAGTCATTTCTTACATTGGGCACTGTAGAGTATTTTGGTGTTATCTACTAATATTTGCCTTATGTCAATAGTTGTATTTTGGTTGTGCATGATATGCTGTATGTTGTGTGCATGGATTATACAGTTTCAATAGGTGACAAGTTAATCTGCAAGAGTGTGGTGCATATCTGCCCAATGTAAGTTTAATTTAGTTTTCCTTTTCATTTATATTTAATAACAAACAAAAAAGATAAAAACAAACAAAAAGAAACTAAATGAACTCAGCTAGACTATATACCAAAAACATTAAAAAAAAAAAAAAAAAAAAAAAAAAAATTCATTTTAGCCTAATTCATGGCACGTGCATTTGTAATCATGTCAACGCAATGATTACTTTAATTCAAATAAGTACTAAAGAACAAAACACTTCACACAAAAATTTTTCAACTGTCATAGAGTTTCCTATAATCGAGTTAGATATATAAAAATTTATATAGTCCCCCCCACATTATATATATATATATATTTATATTAAAAGGAGCTGAAACTCGATTTGCTACAAGTAACATTTTTAAATTGATACCTTGCATCAGAATTGGACATAAAAAATAAATTTAAAAATAATTTTTTAAAAATAAATTCAAAAATAAATTTTAAGATAAATTAAAAAAAAGCAACAAAATTAACAAATACAAAATAAAAAAATAAATAAAATGTTCAATGAGAAGGGGGCTTTCAACCAAGATAAAAATTACTTATTAAGAACATTAAGCAGTTATTATCTTGGTTCAATTATCAGTGAGGAGGGCTCCAGGAAAATATCTGAGACATACCCCCCAACCAAAAAAAAACAAAATAGCCACACACACAAAAAAATGAACCAATTTAGGACATCTTTTGCATATCAACTTACCTCAGCTTGCAAACAAACTTGCATATGGTATTCACAATATTGTCCAGATCTTTTGGAAGATGAACTTGGGCCAGACTGAGCGACAGCAGATTGGGCACATGGCAAAGAAAGTCAAAGCTGTCTGGCTTCAGCTCACAATGGTACAGGTCCAAGACAGTGAGTCTATGCAGGGGCATTAGAACCGAATTCAGCAGTAACGGGTTACTCTTGAAACAGACCTTTCTCAGTGACAGACACTGGAGATTGGGACAATTAAAAATCACTAGTTTGTCATTATCTATAAGTTCGGTTTCCATCTCCCCATCAGCAACAGCACTGGCACCTGCACTGGTACCAGCTCCACCTCCACCACCTCCCCCACCGTACTCTTTAAAGTAATCCTCCAACTTAAGGTGCAAGTTTTCAAAACCCCCCAGCTGCAATGTCCGTAAAGACTGTCCAGCAGAGTTGAGCATTTTGAACAGCGTGCATGACGGGACAATCTTTGAGCACGACAAGAGGCAGAGGTCGCTGAGGGCATGATTTTGTATGTATGCCAACCCCTCATTGCTGACTGATGTCTGGGAGAGGTTCAGCTTTGTGAGGCGTGTCCGTGAGGTGTCTTCGAAAATGTGTAGAATGTCATCAGTGAGCTCCTCGGGTCGCTCACGCCAGGCCCGCAGAAGGCCCTCACATATTTCTTGGGGCAGAAAAATGCCCGGTCGTAATGTGTAGCGGTTGCCATTGGTGATGGTGGCCAAGGCCCTTGGATTCTTCACAAAGAGATTCAGGCAAAGATCCTGAAGTGAATCAGGAATATTTATTGGCCAACCAAAAGCCATGTTTCCCAAGGCATCCAAAACTGAAAGAAGAAAGAAAACAAATCAGTGACATCAAAAACATAGCATATTTTGTGCATAAGAAATTTTGAATGCAAATTAAAGGCAAAAGGAGGGTTGTATTATACACAGGTACGTTTTCAGAATTTTTTTACTCAACTTAAAAGACCTCTTATTTGAAACAGCAAGATTGCAAATACACTCAGAACAATCATCATCAAATCATATAATTATCAATGTGTATTTCTTTATATATTTCTGTCTCATCTGTGGTGAGAAGGGAAGTAAATCAACTTAAGTGAATAAATTTATGCGTGATTACTACACTTAGTAATTTTAATAATGTATACAAATAAAATATTTATCTGCATTTACACAATATAGTTCCTGAGCAAAATGAACTATTTAATTAATTAGTTCCTTTACTTCCAATACCTTTGTCTATTAAGTGGTCCTTGCTTCAACTTGGCTTGAAATAAACTGTTATTGCCATCTTGTTGCTAATTATCTTCAGAGAAATATTTCACTGTTATATTAAACACATAGAACAAAACAACAAAAAAAAAATCATATATATATATATATATATGTGTGTGTGTGTGTGTGAAAACAGGGGGGCCTGATAATTGCGTCAGGCATGAAACAGCCTGTCGTCTCTGAGTGTTGACTTCAATGTTCACTTTTATATTTACATACGCTCTATCTCTGATATTGAGCACTTTATCCCGTAAATATAGCACACATTAAAACTATATATATATATATATATATATATATATATATAAGAAACAGATTAATTAAATAGTTTATCGGCCTCTATTTTAATTGTGAATTATTTATCTCTGTTTTATTGAATCTAAATACATTGTTTTAAGACATTTGTTTCATTGCATCTCACTATAAAAATTTCTAACAATTGCCATCATACAGGTGTTGATAATTGTTTAGAAAGGTATTTGATATGCTGGCAATCTTTGTTTTTCTCTTCATTCTTAATGAATGAAAATATTTTTTATTTTCATAGTTTATTAATATACAGAAATATAATTAAGTCATATCAAACAAAAAAGTATGATAGATTAATAAACACCTTAACATTTATTAACAGGTGTGTCTAGTTAGCACCTCTCCCCCAAAATTTGAAAATAAATTTTGAAATGGAAATTAGAAGAAACATGCAATGACTAAATATCCAGTTTATTTATATTTTTTAATATTGTGAAAAATTAAATATTTTATTCAAATACATGTATGATATTGAGATTTTGTTTGATACCATGGTACAAATTTTCAAAAATAAAATTTCATAGAGATGGTTGTATAAAAAACACAAGGTCATGTTATACACAAAAAAATACAGCATTCAAATTATGAAATTTCCATCTGAATTTTTGGGACAAGGAGTTATTATTTATATTATTTACACAGAGAGTATTGTCCTCATCTCTGTTGTTACCACACCATTTCAGTCATTGTTCCCTCCAGTCTTCATCAGGTGATTTGACAGGTAAACTTCAGGGAATTTTGAATTGAACCATTTATTTAATCTATATGGGTAGATTGTTCATTCTGCTGTTCATGTCCAGAGATATCTTGTCTAGTTCTTATTTATTGCTCACCCTGTTTCCACTAGCGTATACACTGCCCAGGTATCAAACTTGCAATTATCGTCAACAAATTCATGAACCAACGCTTTGGGCCTAGTGGATTAAGTCATGAACTAAAGCACTGACCAAGTGGATTAAAGAATCCATTAGGCCAATGCTTCTCAAAGTATCTGATGTGGCGTACTGGTAGTGTAAGCCTTCCAATCAGGTTGGGTGATTGCACTGTGGCCCACCTCCAATTTTTTTTTTTTTTTTTGAGATATGTCCAATTTCAGGGTCATTCTGAGACTATCTGTACTAAACATGAGGACATGATGTCTTATTTGTGCCATATAATCTTATTATAAAACGCAGATTGTGTGTGTCTGTACGTTTATATATTGGATCGGATTTCCTACATTTTTTAACCGATTTCAACAAAACTTCACAGGACTGCGTAAAATTACCTTGCGGTGGTTCTGACAGCGCCAAAAATTGGAAAAACAATTGTTTTTGCACAAAATCAATTTGAAAACATAATAAAACACTATTCTATTGCCAGAATGAAAGGGGGACAACTCATATCCTGTTATACTTATTATAAAACCCAGGTTGTTTGTGTGTGTGTTCCTTTATATATGGGATCGGATTTCCTACATTTTTCAACCGATTTCAACGAACTTCACTTTTTTTTTGACAGGTAGTGTTTCTTATCGTCTTGCACACTTTTTTTCTTTATTTTTACATTCAGAGTGCTTTAAAAATTCCATTTACAAGACAACTGTTTATAATAAAATTCTATTCAATCGATAGACTCATAACGATTGAAAACAAATGGTTTTGTTCGAGTTTGGATTTGACCAATTCAAAAAAAAAAAAAAAAAACTAATTAAGACATGCGTGTCCGTCAATCTTAAACAATAATCTTTGTCAATTTTATTTTTCAGTCTTCATGATGGTTGATACTTGATCTATCTCTTACTGTTACATCCCTGGGCAACGCCAGGCTCTACTGCTAGTTATATAATAATGATCCGAGAAAATATTATTTGAACATTCGTATTATTCATTTATACCAGATAGGTACCTCCATTAGGTCACATAAAAAAGCAGCATATCACAATGAAAAAAAGGTCCATAAATCAACAAAAACAAAGTTTTGTCTCAATATGTTTATGTTATTATGAAGAGGAAAGACCAAAGTATTTTTTTAATTATTTTGTGAAATTTTTTACTCCTTTCTAGCACGTAGAAATTATTATTTTTTTTTTTTTTTTGACAGCGCATTAAGAGAAAAAAAAGGTCTGTTTTATTTTGTGCTTTTCCCGAGGAAAACACATGTTAATTTAGGAAATTCTTGTAAAAATCAAATAATTGTCGGATTTTAATGAAACTTTCAGGACTTATTCAGAAATGAATGAAATTATTTTCAAATTTTTTTTTTTTTTTTTTTTTTTTTTTAAGAAAATCTTATTAAAAAGAGATTTTTTTTTAAACATGTTTCCACTCACTTACATATTTTCATGAAATTTCGAGAAATTAAATCTTTACGCACAGGATTTGTTTTATTAGTTATAAACAGGACTCTTTATAGAAAGTAAATCACCAGTTTTTTTTTGTAAAACAGTTACTCGTTTCATAGAAAATCTGCTCTGAATTATAAAAGAAAAAAAATGTAAAAAAGTATGACATTAATTAATTAGAAAAGCTTTGACCTGCTTTTGTAAATACATTATATTAAGGATATTATTTTGTGAAGAAATAAAAAATTTTTCAATGAATAATGTATTTTTTACAAATTTTTTTTCCATTTTTTAAATTTTTTTTCACTAACTTAATACTTCAAAAATTGTTTAAAATTCTTTTATTGCTTTTAAAATGCAATGATAACATTAAAGAAAAAGTAAATTTATGAATCAAAATTTGAAAAGCACATAACGGTCATTTGTACCCGAATATTTTAAAAATAATTAAAAAAAAAAAAATTTTATTGAAAAAAAAAAAAAAAAAAAAAAACATTAATTTCTACGTATGGAAATGTATACATGACATAATCCTTAAAAAATTTTAAACAGTTATCTAATTAATAAAAAACTTTAAACAATTATCTAATTAAGAAAGTATGAAATAAAAAATAGATATTACATAATTGCTGAATAAAAATGTTAATATTTAAAGAGTACTAGTTAAAAACGAAAAACCGCGTTCGTTTACTTTACAAAAATTGTCAATTTTGATCATCCATAGTAGTCTGTCATTTCCTCGTCACAATTGATTTCTTTGATAAGGAGAATAAAGACATGAAAAAATTCAGACACATCGTTAAGAAATGTTTGGATACAAATTTTTATGCTATAAGTAAGTACTGTTTTTCATATCAGATTAATTTAACTTTAAATTTTCTAATTTTACTCAAATAATGTGTCAAAAATATATAAATTTATTTTAGGAAGAAGTTTAAAATCAAAATTTTGTTTTTGTTTACAAATTTCTTAAAATTTAAGAAAATAAAAATTAAAACAAAAATCGAGCATATATTTGACATTCCAATCTATATAATTTCTATCTGAAAGACACCAGAATATGTTACTTACTAGTAATAAATTTAATGCTTTAGCTTTCAATTAATAACAACATATTGAGACAAAACTTTGTTTTTGTTGATTTATGAGCCTTTTTTCATCGTGATATGCTGCTTTTTACATGACCTAACGGAGGTACCTAAATTAAATGCTATTTTTTTTAAATTTTAGCCAAAATCTACATGTCTACCTTGCCCCCAAGTTAGGCACATTTTTTAAAGGCCAAATTAGAAATGTATGTCTATGAAAATGGCCTTTTGGTATTACTAAGTCTGGTTCCCACACAGCCACATCATGATTTTACATTACGAGATGGGAGCCTGCAAAAATTCTGAGCCTGAAACACTTTTCAAAATGATACCAAACTTTATTTTTTGTAAAGGGCTTTTTATGATGACATAGACATTGCAGACTATTTCCTACCTGTAGGGTAAGAGAAATGATGCTTCGAAATTAAGGGTTGTAAGAAAATGTTTATAGGGGTGTAGATGGCCTACAGTTAACAAATCCTAAGAAAATCAGTCAACAAAGTCCAATCTTTGGCTAAGATACTTTGCATTCCCTTTGCACTAATAGCCTCAGGAAAGGCATTTTTTCCTCCTAGCTAAGGGTAAATAGACCATTTGGAGTCCTTTAGTCATATAAAAGTCTCTCTGTTGGACTAGCCACTGCAGACCATTACAAATTCTCTTGATACTCAAAGTGCATCACTAATTGTGCTCTCCAAGACATTTGCAAGGTAAAAAAAAAAAGTTTATTTTTTTTGTTTTTTTAAAAAAAATGGAAATGCAACAGAAATAATCCTCAAATAAAAGTTGCCTAACAAACAGTTGCACTAGTAATCTTTTGTTTTTA